TGTGATATAATTTGGTCTTGTGTGTTGACAGTGTGATATAATTTGGTCTTGTGTGTTGACAGTGTGATATAATTTGGTCTTGTGTGTTGTGTTGACAGTGTGATATAATTTGGTCTGGTGTGTTTGGTCTTGTGTGTTGACAGTGTGATATAATTTGGTCTTGTGTGTTGACAGTGTGATATAATTTGGTCTTGTGTGTTGACAGTGTGATATAATTTGGTCTTGGTGTGTTGTGTGTTGACAGTGTGATATAGATTGGTCTGGTGTGTTGACAGTGTGAAATAATTTGGTCTTGTGTGTTGACAGTGTGATATAATTTGTGTCTGATGTGTGTTGACAGTGTGATATAATTTGGTCTTGTGTGTTGACAGTGTGATATAATTTGGTCTTGTGTGTTTACAGTGTGATATAATTTGGTCTTGTGTGTTGACAGTGTGTGTGTGTTGACAGTGTGATATAATTTGGTCTGTGTGTTGACAGTGTAATATGTCTTGTGTGTTGACAGTGTGATATAATTTGGTCTTGTGTGTTGACAGTGTGATATAATTTGTCTAGTGTGTTGACAGTGTGATATAATTTGGTCTGTGTGTTGACAGTGTGATATATTTGTCTTGTGTGTCTATGTGTGTTGACAGTGTGATATAATTTGGTCTTGTGTGTTGACAGTGTTCAGTGTGATATAATTTGGTCTTGTGTGTTGACAGTGTGATATAATTTGGTCTTGTGTGTTGACAGTGTATTGACAGTGTATAATTTGGTCTTGTGTGTTGACAGTGTGATATAATTTGGTCTGTGTGTGTTGACAGTGTGTTATAATTTGGTCTTGTGTGTTGACAGTGTGATATAATTTGGTCTCGTGTGTTGACAATGTGATATAGCTTGGTCTGGTGTGTTGACAGTGTAATATAATTTGGTCTCGTGTGTTGACAATGTGATATAGCTTGGTCTGGTGTGTTGACAGTGTGATATAATTTGGTCTTGTGTGTTGACAGTGTGGTATAATTTGGTCTTGTGTGTTGACAGTGTGGTATAATTTGGTCTTGTGTGTTGACGGTGTGATATAATTTGGTTTTGTGTGTTGACAGTGTGATATAGCTTGTCTGTGACAGTGTGATATAATTTGGTCTTGTGTGTGTTGACAGTGTGATATAATTTGGTCTTGTGTGTTGACAGTGTATATTTGGTCTTGTGTGTTGACAGTGTGATATAATTTGGTCTGGTGTGTGACAATGTATAATTCTTGTGTGTTGACAATGTGATATAGCTTGGTCTGGTGTGTTGACAGTGTGATAATTTGGTCTTGTGTGTTGACAGTGTGATATAGCTTGGTCTGGTGTGTTGACAGTGTGATATAATTTGGTCTGATGTGTTGACAGTGTGGTATAATTTGGTCTTGTGTGTTGACAGTGTGGTATAATTTGGTCTTGTGTGTTGACAGTGTGATATAGCTTGGTCTGTGTGTTGACAGTTGACTGGTGTGTTGACAGTGTGATATAAGTTGTGTGTTTGTGTGTTGACAGTGTGATATAATTTGGTCTGTGTGTGTTGACAGTGTGTATAACTTGTGTGTTGACAGTGTGATAGAGCTTTGTTCTGGTGTGTTGACAGTGTGATATAATTTGGTCTTGTGTGTTGACAGTGTAATATAATTTGTGTCTTGTGTGTTGACAGTGTGATATAATTTGGTCTCGTGTGTTGACAGTGTGATATAATTTGGTCTCGTGTGTTGACAGTGTGATATAATTTGGTCTTGTGTGTTGACAGTGTAATATAATTTGGTCTTGTGTGTTTACAATGTGATAGAGTTTATTCTAGTGTATTGACAGTGTGATATAATTTGGTCTGGTGTGTTGACAGTCTGATATAGCTTGGTCTGGTGTGTAGACAATGTGATATAGCTTGGTCTGGTGTGTTGACAGTGTGATAATTTGGTCTTGTGTGTTGACAGTGTGATATAGCTTGGTCTGGTGTGTTGACAGTGTGATATAATTTGGTCTTGTGTGTTGACAGTGTGGTATAATTTGGTCTTGTGTGTTGACAGTGTGATAGAGTTTGTTCTAGTGTATTGACAGTGTGATATAATTTGGTCTCGTGTGTTGACAGTGTAATATAATGAGGTCTTGTGTGTTGACAATGTGATAGAGGTTATTCTAGTGTATTGACAGTGTGATATAATTTGGTCTCGTGTGTTGACAATGTGATATAGCTTGGTCTGGTGTGTTGACAGTGTGATAATTTGGTCTTGTGTGTTGACAGTGTGATATAGCTTGGTCTGGTGTGTTGACAGTGTGATATAATTTGGTCTTGTGTGTTGACAGTGTGGTATAATTTGGTCTTGTGTGTTGACAGTGTGATAGAGTTTGTTCTAGTGTATTGACAGTGTGATATAATTTGGTCTCGTGTGTTGACAGTGTAATATAATTTGGTCTGGTGTGTTGACAATGTGATATAGCTTGGTCTGGTGTGTTGACAGTGTGATATAATTTGGTCTGGTGTGTTGACAATGTGATATAGCTTGGTCTGGTGTGTTGACAGTGTGATAATTTAGTCTTGTGTGTCGACAGTGTGATATAGCTTGGTTTGGTGTGTTGACAGTGTGATATAATTTGGTCTTGTATTGACAGTGTGGTATAATTTGGTCTTGTGTGTTGACAGTGTGGTATAATTTGGTCTTGTGTGTTGACAGTGTGATAGAGTTTATTCTAGTGTATTGACAGTGATATAATTTGGTCTCGTGTGTTGACAGTGTAATATAATTTGGTCTCGTGTGTTGACAGTGTGTTATAATTTGGTCTTGTGTGTTGACAGTGTGGTATAATTTGGTCTTGTGTGTTGACAGTGTGATCGAGCTTGTTCTAGTGTATTGACAGTGTGATATAATTTGGTCTTGTGTGTTGACAATGTGATATAGCTTGGTCTGGTGTGTTGACATTGTGATATAATTTGGTCTTGTGTGTTGACGGTGTGGTATAATTTGGTCTTGTGTGTTGACAGTGTGATATAGCTTGGTCTAGTGTGTTGACAGTGTGATATAGCTTGATCTGGTGTGTTGACAATGTGATATAGCTTGGTCTGGTGTGTTGACAGTGTGATATAGCTTGGTCTTGTGTGTTGACAGTGTGATATAGCTTGGTGTGGTGTGTTGACAGTGTGATATAGCTTGGTGTGGTGTGTTGACAGTGTGATATAGCTTGGTCTGGTGTGTTGACATGTGGTATAGTTTGGTCTTGTGTGTTGACAGTGTAATATAATTTGTTCTGGTGTGTGGGACAGAGAGACAATTTAACAACAAATGGTGGAGACGTATATTATAATGTACCTGTAATATGAATATTATTTACTCTAGAGACGCTACACCGGAAGTGAGTTTTATATACCGGGAGATTGTATCCTGGGCACTGAGAATGTCTCTATTCAAAATCAGTAATATGTTACAAACGAGGAACCTAAAATATTCACATTCTGTGAAAAATGCCTCTTCAGAATCCACCATTCCCACAATCTTCCTCCAAATACTCAACCACTGTATATGCGCCTCCTCCATCCTTTCATGTTGCTTCCAAACATACTGGTTGTTTGGAATCCATTTGACAGAATTTGCCATTTCGATCATTATATCTAACGGTGTCATAGTGTATCTACCCAGCATTAGCCGATTTGGTGAAAGCCAGTGGTTCCAAGTAGAGAGGAATGATAAGCTATCATTACGCCTTACGTATCTGAGCCAGTGTCTAGTCAAAACGTCCCACCATCCCATCTAATTGAGAATGGTATGGCGTCGTTTTGGTTTTCTCTATATTCAGCAGTTGGCACATTTCAGTAAATTGTTTTCACTCGAATTGTTTCCGAAATTGTTTCAGGGACACCAAACCTGGCAATGCCATCCTCTAAAATCAGCTTAGCAAACGTGCGAGTCTTCATGTTTGGCATGGGGAAACTCTCGGTTCATTTAGTATAATAATCACTCTCTACCAGTATGTACTGATTTCAACAACTGTTTCTCTCCTGCCCTATCACTAGACTGCCCTTTTATGATTTCTAACATTTAGATCAGGGGAAATTGAGAAGTTCTTTTCAAATAGTTTAAGTAATGACATTATGGCCGAATGTTGTTATGTTTACTTTGGGCTTATATGGGCTCCTGGGCGGCGTTAAGCGCCTACTCGTATTATTGATAACCACTGGAGGATCGTTTTCGTGCGAGGCTGGACAATCATCAAACAGGCCACCGTTTAAAGTCCCGTCCGCTGGACTATGGATAGTTGTTAGTTTTGGTGCTGGTGTGAAAACTACGATTATGTGTCCCACTTTCCGGTCTCGCTGCGAAAATACTGATCTGCTTTGCAAGATGCCTATGGCTTTCTGAAATCCTTTCTGTTCATTCAACATACATTAATTCACCATACCGACTTATATTTTTGCTTAATGTGCTTATTTAGATAGGTCAGTGTTTATTTTGGCGAGAGATGTTATGTTGGAGTAGAAAGTGGTATGCTAGTGTAATGACTAATCAAGAGAAAAAGCGAGATTCTCAACGCGGGGGTGGTGAGGGGAGAGATTAGGTTATGTATTTAGCGGATGTATCATGTTAGTACCTGACTTGACCTTTTTTTAGATCTCTGATTGCTCAGCCTTATATATACCCATATGGAGAGTCCATTGTTTTACAGGACGAAACTATTCATTGTACACCACGTGACCCAAACGCATATTCAACGTTTCCAAGCACTTCTATAACGCATACGCTGTCCCATGTGCGTTTGTAACATATCATATCGCCCATATCAACAACCAAATAGAACAACATACACAAATAATACCATTTATTATTCATAAAGGGACGGGCTATGTGTATATTTCCAGAAAAATTCTGTTACACTGCATACAGTGAAATACAACAGTTTCTATCCTTCTTGGTGAATCATTTTGCTACAAATGCAACCAATTGTATATTTTTGTTTTGACAGAAAACTACATATTGGATTATATAGATACAGGTGATGATGGAAATCATTTGCGGGAAATGTGCGCTAAAGCTACACCCCATATCGGCATTTGTGTTTCTAATACTTTGTACGGGCCTCCTGCTTTTATATGAGGTAAGAAAACATAAATTGATATTTAAAGTCATCAAGGACTTGTACAAACTTACAGGATGACCTCTCTATAGCCAATTCTAGGTGTAACAAAAGTATTCAATTAATCGCATGTAACCAATGTCTTTATCACCCATCATGTTAGTACATTCGTAATATAAGTTTACCTAATCTCGAAATGAAGGCAAGTTCTGTGTACTTAATATGGCTATGTATATTACCTATTATGGCATTGTATGTTACCTAATATGGTTATGTTATTACCTAATATGGCTGCGTATTTTTACCTAATATGGCTGTGGATATTAATTAATATGACTGTGTATGTTACCTAATATGGTTATATATATTACGTGGTTAACAAACCTGACTGTACTAGCAAAATCGAACTACTGAACTCCCCTCGCTAGTTGTATCATTTTTTTGTCATTTTTGAATGTTGCTCCATTTGAAGATTTGTTTTGATAAAATGAATCGGTGCTGGTCTTTCCATTGACAATTTTATCTTACATATAAATATATGTATTCGCATCTGATGGTTAACATGGTATAATGTCAATTCTATTCTGTTTTATGATAAAAAATTGTTAATTTGTTTTATTTACAAATTGTTTTTACTGATATAATGGTTCTGAGTTTTGTTGAGTTTCATAGTTACTATGTGTAAGTAACAACAGATTCGTGGTTGTACATTTTGTGTCCATGTTGTAACATCAGCTAACTTATATGTAAACACGTGGGCATCACGCTTACGCCAGACATTTGTTAATTATAGGAGGGATATCAAAGAGATATACTGGCAAACAGTCCGAAACATATCCCTGGTCCTTCTGATCAATTTATTTATTCAAACTCTAATGGAAAGCAGGGTTCAGAGGTTGTTACCATGCAGACAAGGAAGTCGTCTTCAGTGAGAAAAGTGAAACCTTTAAACACAACCATGAAATCCACTAAACAAGCTCCCATCGTGTCTTCAAAAGCCGCCAGTAAAAGCCTCGTTAAAGGAGTATTAGTAAGTAAACATAAATAACTTTTTACGTTTCTAGGAATGGTCCTTTTACACAGCATTCAACCTGAAATGCAAAGCTGTAATTTTGTAATACAATATGATTAGTTATCCCACAAACATATTCTGTCCTTCTGAAATGCATGTTATAGTGTTTGTCTTTGCTCTACTTTAGTCTGTTGTTTGTCCTGCTTTTTGTTGTCTAACGTATTGTTTGTCATGTGTTTGCTGCCTTCTTTGTACGACCATGTGCTATCGTTTATGTTTGCCTTGTACTTTTATTATGGCCAGTGTTGCAGCTTTAGATGTCTAACAGTACCGGTATGTTACATTAAGTATTTCGCTATACGGAAAATGCAACGCAGAGTATTTCGGTTTCTTACAGAATCTAATTCATTAGCCTTTTATTACAGAATATCGGATATATTTTCCCGCTTTAAATTACCATATCTAAATTTCACTATACTGTTACATTTGACATGTTGTACATGATATGCTGAACAATATATGTTGTCCACTACACTTAACGCGTATATCGAGAAACTGAAATAATATTTCTTTTTCAAAAGTTGCAAAAGTTGATTTGCAATGGAATAGATTTTGGACTTTCTGAATATCGGATGTAAATATCGCATTTTGTTTGCAAATCAAATAGACCATGACTCCGGTGATGCACGAATGCCTGAATGCCAAGGCGCCACCAAATGATAATTATCTTCGTGATGCCCTTCTGCTTGGGAAGCTGCCCTCTAAGACCGAGATGTGTGTAATGTCTGTGGCACATCTAGACACCTTACTGCAAGCGTAAGTTCGAATAGGCGTAGGTAACCAAATGTCAGGCATTAAATTGTTTTGTCACATTTGTTGGGAATATCTTATTTAACGAAGAGACATTCTGCAAGTAATTCCTCTGTTAGTGTAGGGGCAGATAACTCCTCGTAATACAGATATTCAAGGAATATGCTGTATAGGTAGACAGTCTCCTTCAAAGGTGATTGTATGTATATAAGATTACAAAAGTGATTGTCTGTATGTATGTATTTGTAAGACGCTTACGCTTCCCTATAAATTTTTTTATTCATATTTTGTCCCAGTTTTATTTAATATGAGATTGGATTTTGACCATGTTGACATGTTGGTATTTTCTTGTTTTGTTTTTATATATATAATCCTGTTTTACCCTTTTTAGTGTTTCCTTATTTTATCATTTTTTTGTAGTATCCATGTTTTATCATTTTTTGTAGTGTTAATATTTGATAATTTTTGTAATACCTTATTTGATACTTGTTCAATGAACAGATACATGAATACTATCCAGATATTGTGTGGAAGTAGTATGGTAAGAATGGGCGCCAGACGAGACGGTGGCTGGGATGTCTGTCCTAACGCACGCTATCTACAAAAGGACAATTGTCTCGTATATTCCTTTGGGTAGGTGTTTTAAGGACTATATACTGTATACCAAGTGTAATACGTTTTTTTTTCTTTTAGATCTATTTATCCGAATTATTGAGACATGCAAGCAGATTCATCGCCGTGTGCAATGATTGGAGTAACAGCTGTCTTAATTACATCATAGGATCACTGCTTAAGTCTTAACAAATGTTCCCATTGAGAAATTATGCGAAGAAATTTATTATCAAGATGCTATAATAAAACAAATGGTTTACAACGCTTTCGGTTTTGTTTTACCATAGTTCTAAACGGGAGGCAAAAAGAAAAAAAAATCTTTGGAAACCATTGTGTTTCATGGCGAGATATATTTTCTATGAACATGTGTCTTTTGTACAACTCATCAAGATTGCCAAGCCCATATACAATATCAAAATTGTTTATGATCATTGGTTACTCCAATGTAGATACAATTCACTTGTCTATATATCTTACTGCTACGTATGAGCCATAATTATCAGATCATGATGATGCGTGGTGATTATCCTAGCCATCAAATTTAACTCCAACAATATATGGATTTCTCCCACGTAGAATAGCAGGAGACTTCACTAAGAAAGTGTTAAAGTACTTCAATCTATATTTTCAAATGTAGTCTAATGCTGATGTTAAAGACCTGTCGTGGATGTATTGGAGTCTCGAAAGAATCTTTGTCAATACTCGAGCATAATTCCATATTTATGCTTTTTTTGTTTTCGCTAGTCTTTTATTGGGTAACTTTATTGCATATGTTGAAGAAACTTAAGATGAATATGGAGATAAATGGTTACCGATATCGCCATTCTTTATCACACAATAGATGCATACCCTTTACTATTGTTATTATTATAGTATAAACAACGACTTCAGTTTTGACGATGCTATAGCCCGGGATTATGGCTGTAAAGTACACTCATTTGACCCAAGGTAAAGTACATGATATACAGTTGCCGACTGTAATATAACATACAGGAAAACGGGAAATGGTCAACATGTTGTAAAAAATTTCAACGTTATAGAAATAACTTAACAGTTATGATTTTTGTCATGTTTTATCCATGCCGTCTTTTGAAAGGTTTGATTACAGTATACATCAATTAGATAATTCAAGATTAAACGTTCATGTCAAAATTGTATGATATAATATGGAGTCATTGTTCTTTTGTCTCTCATGAGTATATACACATTCTTGATCCTTGGAATTATGAAATACCAAACAGAAAATTAAAATGAAATATGTGGTACTGGAGACACTATATTTGATGCTTGAAAAGTAAAGTTGATTATAAACAATTAGAAAAGGAAAAGACAGAAATTGCGCGAGGATATTACCATAATTAATTCAGAATTTAGGACATGCACAAGTATAGCTCACTTATGACTAACCTATCTACACGGCTGTTTATCATCAGTCATACGTCATTGTGTCTAGATATTTTATATAAATTTATTTTAGCATGAAAAAAAGTGATCACATACGGAGCCAGAAGCCGTTCGTGTCTTTCCATGCTACTGGGTTATCTAACTTTAACGGTACAAGCAGTGACAGGCATCGTTGGAAGATGAGGACATTATCTGGTATCCGACATGAACTAGGCCATAAGGTATTCCTCCTTGAGAATTCAAAGATAACCTGAAGAATGTCGTCATGAGCACTGTAAATGTACTTAATTTGGCACGATAAATATAAAAAATAACAACATGACAACATAATCAAATTTTTGCACTATTCACCTTTTGGAGAATTAATGTAATGATGAATTTTCGCATACACAAATACAATGCACTGATATACAAATGACATCAAGAAACTGCAATTAGCGTAGTTATGTATTTCTTTCAACCTGAAAACCCACTTACATAAGAATACCCTACACTTAGAACGTTCACTGCTTTTCATTGTTTAGATATTACCACGGTCGAACAATACAATTATGTGTAAATATATATAATAAATGACGAATACTCGAAGTTATGGAACATTATCGAATCCCAGTGTTGTGTCTGTCGTCTCTCCGTCTTTCCGTTCACCGATTTGACGTTAACTTTTCCCCTTAAACAACCTTTGTGAATAGCAATGCGTTTAAGAGTAATGCTATTTGACTATAACCCAATTCCAATATAATATCTGTCGAATCATTAAAAACTTAATTTTGGATTTGATTAAGATATTGGAAGACATATTTACTATACTACAATTGTGAATTAGTTTGTAAAGAAATACTAATGTTTCTTTGTTAGAGTAGTTTTACTATAATTGCCGTGGTAGTCTGTCGAACACTAGCGCCCAATGTGAACATTATTTTCATTCACAAGAAATGTCTTCCAAATAATTTATTGATAAATATTCACAAGTTTTACTACAAAAATTCATTGAGAATTAATAAGAAAATTCACCCATGCGAAATTTCATCACTCCTATTTGACCTGTTTTCCTGACATTTCAGACATTTCATTATAGGTGTGTCATAGTAATAGACATAATACAAATATATTTCAATTTATATAGACGTTTGTTTTAACAAAGGACTTCATTAAAATCGTAGTGCTATGCTCAGATGAATGTGCTTTTTTTAAATGCTAGTGCAAATGCGTGAATGTTAATGTCTCTTAACCATATATAGATATCGTAGTATCGATAAACAATATGGCTCCCCTTTAAAGTGCTCGTTTCCCACAAGACTGAAATGCCAGAATGTTTTATTTCCATATCTTAATTTTGTCTCAAACGAATAATGAAATAATAAGGTAGTTTCAGAAATACATTTATTTGTATCAATTTATTCAGTATGTTTTTACTAATGTTACAGGTTATGCCAGATGTATTGAAGATGGACATAGAATTCTCTGAATGGAACGCACTACCAGATATACTACATAAAACGCCTGTAAACCAACTACCAAAACAGCTGATTGCAGAATTCCACTATTTTGTATTCAAGACGGATCTCAAAACTCATTGGCTCAAAGTATTATTTACTTTCAGAGATTTGTATGAAGTAGGCTATCGAATAGCATGGATTTCCAGAAATATCGATGTTAATTGTATCAAAAAGTCTAAATCAACAGGTGCAATGTATTATTTGTGCCACGAAGTAACATTTCTTAAAGAAAATATTGCTTGATACGCTACTTTTTGTTACAATGACCTTTAGAGATTTTTTAAAATATATTTTCATCGTTTAATTGAATTTCCGTCTGTAATCTCCAAATACCTGAGTTGTGTTATTTTATTATTTTTTATTCATAATTTATATTGTAATATGGACAATTATTTATAACTAATTTTGTTAGGTGTTAAGTGCTTATCACAGCTGTTTGTTTTGTCGTTATCACTTAAAATGTGTTCACTTTTGATGAATTAAGATCTGGCAGATCTCAGTGTGAATCACTGTTTAAAATGAACCTAAGATATATTTCTATGCTTGTTTGGTCCTGTCTCATTCACTTATTTTATTTTAGATTTAAAAACCATCTTTGATTAACTCACTAAGAAGGACAAATTGGTACAAACACATAAATAAGAGAACCATTTTTTCTCCTTGGTAGTTGTTAATTGTGATTAATCGTTTTACACTAAACTGAATTTATAACAGCATTGTGTTGATTTTGGATTGTGTTAAGTCAAGCAAAGTAAAACAAATCAACAAGAAAAGAAAATATATTTTCAGCAACGTTATAGGAAAAAAATTGGTTTCAGTAATAACTGATAATAACATTGGTAATAAATTGAACGTGCAATAAGTATTTTATGATTGGTTTGTAATAATTCGATTTTTTTATTTGCATTATGAATTTCTATTTTTTCTTCACTTTGAAGTTTTTTTCTAGTTATAATAGGTAATTAGCTATAACATCTTCAGATTTATGAAATTGTCAATTTTGAATATTAATTAGCTCGCTAAAACTCATGTTTTATTTATTTATTTATTTATTTTTGTAAAAATACTCATGAGGAAGAAATACTATATATGCCACAATCACTCGTTGTGTAACCCCAATTAACCTAGTATGAGGAATCCTTGTCCATTAATTTGGTTATATCGAAAGTGATCAAATATATATGAAACTAAAACTCCGATGCTTTAATCTGTATGTACATGAAAGATGTCATGGAAGAAGCAATGCGGACTGTATATTTTTTTTTCACTTTTTTATCAGAAATGTTTGTTTTACATGTAGCTAGTCAGATGTTGTTCATATATAGCTTGTTCAACCGTAAATATGATTTTTTTTTTCAAAAAATATTCTATGTTTTATGCGTTAAAAACTATGAAATGTTGTTGTCAATCTGGCTGCCTGATCAAGATATTTGAATCAATAAGTACCTGCATAACTGCATCCAAAAGTTATGATAGTATTGATATTGAATAAATAACCATACCGTTTCTAATTTGCTACTTACAGCCACACTAAAAGACAAAATTGAGCGATTGTTGCTGTTATTTATATTGTTGTTTGCTCGTTAATAAGATCATGATACACGTGTTTTATTCAATCAATTTTTTATGAAATAATGTTTATTTAAACTTTTCTGCAACATTAGATATGTGTTACTCAACTTCAAAGGCATCAAATAATCATTCCAACTGTATTGTAAACATATGTGTTATACGATATATGGTAAGTACCATTTCATCATATTTTGATAGGCTGACAAGAAGAACTGACCGAAAGGGTGCTTCACGCACCCACAGATATCAAAACGTGCGATAATTTTTTTTTAAATTTTTCTTGTAATAATTTGATTTTTATTTGGATAGCAAATCAATTTACTTCTAGTTATGATTCGTAATTAGCAACATGTCTTTCTAAAATTTTGAATATTCGTAAGCGCATTTTCAATAAAGGTCACATCATTACGTCACAACTGATGGGGTTAACAAAAGACGTGGGTACTGAACAGGTATATTATAATTTCGGAATAGCTTTTTGTATTGTGGCTGAAACATCATACAAACTTGTGGTCGTAGTGGTAGTGAAAGTTACGAAATCTAATTATGGGGCTGCTGCACTTCCCTGTCTCGATTTGACTTTCCTTTCGATCACTTCCGATTTTCCTCATCCTAAGCTTCAAACTTTAGGTCTGTAGCATAACTGACGAGTCAGAGAAGGATGAATCATCTGAATGACGCAGTTTAGTTCATTGTTTGGCTCTTGTGTATCTTTTGTACGAACTTTGTTATTTTCCAAACGTTACCAAATCAACTTTTGAAAAAATAACTAATTATTTAACTAATTAATTAAAGCAACTATTTAGCACTTCTTGATACGATGTATGTACAGAAAAAAAGTTACTTACAAAAAATTAATGACAATCTCGGTGGAGTAGATACTATGGATTGTTTAGATAAATGTCTTATAATCACTGAAAATAAATACAGAAGAAAACGATTGCGGATCTTGGGTCGTAATGTCATTTATATTATTCATAAATATAAAGGAAACAAATCTGGAAGTCGCATTATGGTCGAAATAAATGTGTTGAGATCTATTAATCACGTATGAGTGTTAGATAGAGTAAATGTATGGGTAATACACTGGTAAATATACCTGTAGATGCCGCTAGGAAATCCAAAAGCATATCGAATCAGCGACTCGGTATTGTAAACAGCATGTACATTTTAGACAGTCATTTGTACCTTCACACTTCCTTTACCAATGTTAATGATTGAGCTCCAAAAATATTTAGAGCCAACCTTACTATACCACAAAATAAAAAGGGTGTAGGAACCAAGCTTTTAGGATTAAAAATATACAGAATTCGGATTCTTTGATGCAACTCTAAGCACGTTAAATGAAAAAAAAAATAGTCTAATACCATCCTTTCAAATATGAGCTGTATGATTTTTTAATTTAATTGCTGGTATGATACTAATGAAAGAAAATCGGCAAATCCCGGTTAACAGCTTATCAAAAATCATCCTGGAACAAACTTATTTGTCATTATCTTTCAACGTGATCCTTGTATCTACAGTTTAATGCTAATTACACAATATTTTAAGGGTTTACAAGTGAAAAATTAGTTAGAATACATGAAAAGCCAAATACACCGCATCATACAGCTGTCTCGCTCTTCTAGGGCCCGTCAGTAATATAAGGGCCTGCAATGAAACAGACGATGTAGGAAATATAGTCGGGAAAGGAGACCCATCCTATAATGCGTATAAACTGCGTAATTTTTAATATTGGATGTCAAAAGTCAAGTAAATTTAGTCATCATCCTCATTTTGTGTATAGGAACATACTCACGTGACAAAATGTACTTGATAACGGGCTTTCCTTGAATAGACAGGAGATAGCCATATCAAACAAAACCCAATACACATAAGTGATGATGAATGGAAATCCTCTTTGTATATGAGGCTGGAAATTCCTTAACTATTAATAGATACTGTGTCTGGAATTTACAAAACAATTTATATCTTATTGCAATAGTTGTAGCATTTCTAAGTGGTCCTGACAATTGCATGGTTCCCTTCTAGATAACGCGTTACGACGACATATATTTTATTCTATAAATGTTAAAATTAATATGTTTAATTCAATGGGGAAGCGTTGTTCAGCCTTACCTTGCTCCTGTGTTCCCATAATATCATGATGGTTGAATAAAACAATTTGAGATGAAATCGATCATGTTATTAAAAACTAATAAGAAAATGCTATCTATGTTTTATTTCTAACATTTGCAGAATCGGAGTGTTTTTACTTGGATAAAAACGAGACACTGAGGTTATTAAACATAATCAGAATGAAATATTGAAGCTAGGAACGGCATACAGATGTTATGGTGTAAGATGAGAACAAGATATTGAAATGAAGTGGTAAGACAAGAACAGGATATTGATGTAATGATGTAAGATAAGAACAAGATATTGATTTTGTGAGGTAAGATGAGAACGAGATATTGAGGTTACGAGGGGAAAAAATGAATTATTTAAAATGATAACTAGATACTGAGGTTATGAGGGAAGATAAAAACAATATTGGGGTTATGATATAAAATGAGAACGAGATATTTAGGTTATGAGGGAGGATAAAAACGAGATACTGAGGATATGATATAAAATAAGAACGAGATACTGAGGTTATGATATAAAATAAGAACGAGATATTGAGGTAATGAGGGAAGATAAAATCGAGATATTGAGTTTATGATACGCGATATAAAGTTTTAGGTTTTTATTGATTGTTTAACAGGTATCTGAATCAACTACTGATTAGTTAAAAATAAAAAGATGTATTCAAGAATAGATCTATCCGCATATATCACTGACGTTGTTTTCTGCAGAGAGGCTCCAAACAGAAGTTATATGAAACAATCACCTGCCAACATTCTAACCCTAATTCCATAGTGATGATTTCAATCACGGAATATGAATGACAAATGGACAAGTAATAACTGATTCATCATTTCATCTAACAGATGTTTTCAGAATTGAAATAAAGTATTGAATATAACCCTCGTGAGCAATGCTTAGTATCAGGTCACCTTCATAACTAACGAGTAAAAGAAATACATTCGTGTACGGATACTAGTCGTAGACACTTATGGTCGTTTGCTGTAACTTTAATATCATGTTTAGTTCACTTCAACATTGACACACTTTAGAGTATATACTTGTATATGCACTTTTCACTTTAAGTATCCGAACTTTGCTGTGACCTGAATGCCATGTTTTACTTCATACACATGAGTTATGTATCTTTTATACGATCTTAGTGTATCCTCTGTACGATCTTAGTGTATCTTCTGTACGATCTTAGTGTATCTTCTGTACAATCTTAGTGTATCTTCTGTACGATCTTAGTGTATCTTCTGTACGATCTTAGTGTATCTTCTGTACGATCTTAGTGTATCCTCTTTACGATCTTAGTGTATCTTCTGTACGATCTTAGTGTATCTTCTGTACGATCTAAGTGTATCTTCTGTACGATCTAAGTGTATCTTCTGTACGATCTTAGTGTATCTTCTGTACGATCTTAATGTATCTTCTGTACGATCTTAGTGTATCTTATGTACGATCTCATTGTATCCTCTTTACGATCTTAGTGTATCTTCTGTACGATCTTAGTGTATCTTCTGTACGATCTTAGTGTATCCTCTGAACGATCTTTGTGTATCTTCTCTACGATCTTAGTGTATCTTCTGTACGATCTTAGTGTATCTTCTGTACGATCTTAGTGTATCTTCTGTACGATCTTAGTGTATCGTTTGTACGATCTTAGTATCTTCTGTACGATCTTAGTGTATCTACTGTAAGATCTTAGTGTATCTTTTGTACGATCTAAGTGTATCTTATGTACGATCACAGTGTATCTTATGTACGATCTTAGTGTATCTTCTGTAAGATCTTAGTGTATCTTTTGTACGATCTTAGTATCTTATGTACGATCACAGTGTATCTTCTGTACGATCTAAGTGTATCTTCTTTACGATCTTAGTGTATCTTTTGTGCGATCTTAGTGTATCTTCTGTACGATCTCAGTGTATCTTCTGTACGATCTCAGTGTATCTTCTTTACGATCTTAGTGTATCTTTTGTGCGATCTTAGTTATTAAAATCACTCCTAGAAGGACGAAACAGTTGTGTGATGCAGTTCAATTCATTGTTTGGCTCGACCGGGTCTATTTTTAAGGTGATATTCATTCTGTGTCTTTCTCGTCATAACTTACATAGAAGTTGAAACAGCTGTAGTATGCCGTTTAATTCATTACCTTAATCTACTTTATTTAGTCCGAAATTTATATTGAAATGTTTCATTAAATTTGTATTTTGGTAAATATTTGTAATGTTGCCTACTCTGCCCTAAATTTGTATTAATACCACATGGACGGTTTTGCTATGTTGTCGGATGTGGGATTTAAAAGTTCACACATATACAACAAGTTTAGCACTTCGAGACAAAAGAAAACGTTGCAAAAAATCTTGCTGAAACTACATAGTACAGTTCAAAGGTGAAGTGGAAGTTCGAATTCGGTACTTCAATTTATCTTACGAACATTTATCTGGCGATACTTAACATTTTCGTGATTTGAAGTTCCTTTTGTTCACAGCATTTTACTTAAAAAGTCACGAAGGCGATACAAACTAAGAATCAACGAAACGAAAAGTATGTGTCATTGTCAACTCTCCTGATGATCTTGATAAACTTCCAACAGAACGTTTCAATGAACGCAGATTGATGAAGACTATTTTATTTCCATATCCGATGTGAATTTAGACATTGCTGGTACTGTCGTTATAGTTAATGCGGTTTTTTAATTGGAAACGTGACATTTTTTACTTGCATTGTTGACGGTTGGAGTCGATGGAGGATAACTATCCTCACGAAAACTTGGTCGTATTCTTCCTGCTAGAAAATCTTTCTTTTGTTCATATTTTACCCTTGTTTCACCAAAGTTGAGTTTGAATTAAGTGGTTTTTAAGAAGTCGGTGTTACAATTTTGTACCTTGACTGTTTTATCCACTTCAAATATAACGTTTTTATAATTTGAATCGCGATAATGACAAAGAGACTACAGAGCGACAAGATAAGGAGGATAATACAAATCGAACTAAATACTTTATATGATTATTATGAGGAAAATCGTAGTTACGCTATCGAGATCAGTAAAATTCTCAATACAAAATCTTCTAATCAGAAATGAAATATATAAACATGATTACATTATAGAACGTTTTGAAAACACACCACACTCATATCTGGTATGATTGGATACCAAAAATTAATATGATGGGATTTTTTTTCAACTGAAATTTCCATTCAAGTTTACTTGGTTAAATTACGTGTACGGAAAGCGTGACACAGACTGTACAGAGCGATAACTGATTACTGTATGAATATTTATACACCCACTGACATGTCAGTCATCCTGACGAGATTTCTTCCTGCCTTTACGCTATCCTTTTATGATATATCACCAGCATACCGTCTTCAGTATCTCAGTTAAACGTTGTTGTGAGTTGGTCGTCATCACTCTCTGACCACTTCTACCACATCATGAACAATTCGACTATGACAGCTTCGGGAAATAATACTCTCCTTGATCAATGGAACTCGGAATTTGTGCGGGTGTTACGGTCTGACACCCTGATGCTTGTATTGTACATAGTAATTGGCGTGATTGGTAACTCTCTTGTTATCACTGTGTACACTCTACGTTTTCGGGACAAAAGTGAAGACCGGTTCTTTATTCCATACCTTGCAGTTATTGACTTGATCGCATGTCTGGTTTGCTCTTCGTTCGGCATTTCTGTAAACCAGTATGCAGTAACTTTTACCAACGACGCAGTTTGCAAAGCCTTTTGGGTATTTAGCTTATTTACCACAGGGACTTCAATATTCACCCTATTACTTATCGCGGTCCATCGATATCAGAAGATCTGTCGACCATTTCAACCACAGATGACCCACCGAAGGAAACAGCTTGGTTTGGTAGTATGCATTGTGGTAGCGATGTTTACGTCCCTCCCAGCACTTGTTTTCTACGGAACCTCTCCTGTAAGCCACCCAAAATACAACATCACAGGAACGCGCTGTGCTAACATTCGTGGTCCGTGGACAAAGGCAGTGGCTATATCATACAAAGCGGCTATATTGCTCATTGGCCTCGGAATACTAGTTAGTCTGGTGGTTCTTTACTGTTTGATAGGAAGAGCCGTCTTTCGGAGAATCGATTTCAATAAAAAAAGACAAGAGCAAACATCAATTCCAAACGCACCGTCATCTATGACCTCGCGAGATACTATCGAATATATCTCGGAAGATAGGAATAAACTTTCGCCAAGGACAACTACGAAGACAAAGAAGATCCCTGGATACCGATTGTCAATTATGTTCATGTTAATTACAGGCGTATTTGTTGTCTGTTTCATTCCAAAACTTGCCATGATGGTGTTTGAATCTAGACAAGAACAATTCTGGTTTACACTTGATATCTCTGGCTACAAAGTATTCCGGTTTTTATATACAATGTACATTATAAACAGCATTGCTAACCCTATAATATATGGATTCCATGACAGAAAGTTTAGACAAGAACTTGCATCACTTTGTTGTAACCGTTGTAATTGTATCTCTTTGGCATATGGTAGGAGATGAAATGTCGAAAAATGTGGAAAGAGGTGAAATATGAAACAATATAGGTGTATTTTATCCTGTATATATCAATGTAGGTAAGTTTTTATGTATTTTTTCACTATGTAGTGTACATAAGTGCATGTTTGTGTAGTTATCTCTTAAATTGTATTGTAGATGTGCGTAGTTACGTTTTTAGGTCTGTGCTAGTATCATTGTAACCTGAATTTCATTTACATAAGTCATTTTAACCCATTTTATAACATCAACTTATTGCATTGGTCTATATTACTATTTAGTTACTTAGCTCTTGGATGAAGATTTATATAATTGTATGATATCAACTTAATTCTTGACCATAGTTCTATGTAATTGTGTTATATAAACTTAGCTCCTAGATATAGGTATCCATACTTGTACAATATCGACTTAGCTCCTCGAGGCAGCAAGCTGAAATGAGAAGAAAGTGGTCAGTGTCTTAAAATATCAGCTGTATTTTGGCGGGGGTGAAGGAAAACAAAATTGGCGTGTCTTACAGCTCATACTTTCAGACACTGGTCATATATTCTATTTATTCTGCAACATTTACGCTAGAGTGTTCCTGATCATGTCAGACTAATTACTCCCAGCGCAAGTGTAGTCCCATACTTCAATGGATATCAAAACCGATTTTGGTAAATAATATTGGTTGATGCAGCAAATAAAACCGCTTATTTGAACAGTTATCTATATTCTTAATGAAATATATAAGTTAGTTAGCAATTCTGTCGAATTGATGCACTTGCTAAAATAAGCTGTTTTCCGTCACTGCCGAATACAGCCGGAATTTGCATGTAGATAAGTAGGTGATTGGTGTTCTCTGACAATGGTAGCACACGAAGAATAAACCCACAGAATATTGTGAGTGTGGAGTACGGTCATTGTTATACCATTTGCCTTATTGTATAATAATGATATCTGTGTCTTAAAGACACAACTCCATAATTCATCAAGTTACAAATTAAAGAGATTCCTTAGCCTAAGCGAGGACTAATACTGAATAAAGCAGTTATAGCTAATATGTGGATATGTCATTGAAAATAAAAGGATTTTTGATGGGTGACCGCAATGTTTCCTTGTTTGAAGTATCTATACACAATCTCGAAACCTGACCTGAAATGCTTCGAGCGGGCGTTAATCACAAGTGTGTGTTAAAATGTAAAGTATACATGTCCGTTTTATACTACGGGCCTAAGTATCTTTTGTTCGAGGAAATATTGCACGAGGAACATCCAATCCTTATCTACCGGGAAAAGAGAGAAAAAAAGCTTTCTAAAAACACTGTAAATTAAAGAGTCTGTTAAGAGCAGTTGCGGGCATAACAAAATGTCTTCACTGATTAACTGGGCTATTTATTTATTTATTTATTTTTTCCTTCCTTTCCTTTTTTTCACTCAAAACGTCCTAAATTTAAGCATGACTGGGAAAGATTATGTTAACCGGCCCATTTGTTATATGGTTTGATATATTCTTTTTTCCTAATATACCGAACTGTAAGTTTCACTTTCTATCATCCGATCTCTTTGCCAACAATAAGATATATCGTTATATGTATGTAAAGTAAATTATATATATTGTTGAAAAATTGAAGAGGAATGAAAAACAAAATTTTAAAACTGTTTGATACCGTTATAATCGAGGTCATTATAACATATTGAACTCTAGAAGATGGAATATATTAACATTTCCAATCGTGCTTTATAGTCCTAAAATTTTAAAAGATTCTTCAGCGGAACATTTCTCAATAGCAAATATAGTGAACGCTTTATGGCATTGCGTTTGGTAAGTCAAAACCAACAAGCTTAAACTCGTTTTGAAACGCATATAACCAAAAACTGGTTGACCATTTTCAATTTTAACCATTTAATATCAGAGCAAGTTTTTTCTCCGGTGTAGCTGATTTTCGGTTTAAGGTTCGAGAGCTTTCGTCACTTTCCGTGAACGAGAAATTCACCGTCTCCTAATTGCATTAAAACTGCAAAACTTGGATGTACTTACGATATTTGTTTGAATTTAATCGTGATTAACTTTTCGGATGTTGATAGTGAGAATTTGGTTTTTTTTAAGAAAATGGCAGTCCATGCAATACTGTTGACTATATTTTCTCATGACAATTTATTTTAAAAAGACAACCTTTATACTGATGCTATGTTACAATATATAATAGAGTAATATCAGCAGTGTTGAAAAAAAGATGCTATCAGAGAGCATAAACTTTATCCGCAATGTTCTACCATAGATTTAAATATAGATCTTAGTCCGTGGTTCTACCAGCATTGCCTTACTAAACATTAAAGGTTCAATTGCGTTTCATGGTTTGTCAGACAGAAAAAAATCTTTCAAAAGCTAAGGGCAAAGAAAATCAGAACATTTTAAGAATGAAAACTGGATCAACATATAAACAACGCCTTTACAAATATTTAAAAGTTATATAGTTTTTCGGTCATATTTTTATTACAAACTCATTTCTTTATAAAACGAATCTAAAAGCTTGTCACCTCTGCAACCTCTGTAACTCTGAAAGGGAAACTATTGTACAAATGTACATTTATTTTAATATATAAAGTTGACTTTATCTATATGGTTTAACGTCCACTATTACGGCCTTTCAGGAGACGTGATTAGGTTGACAATAACGTTACCCTGCATATAATACAGAGTGTGGACACAGCTTACACAAGTTGCTAAATATTGATTAATAAATCGTTATATCCTTGTAAATAATGAAAAGCAAACTGGTAGTAAAGCGGAGATAGTTGTGTTCCGAATCGGAAAATTCGATAAAATTAACAAATTCCCTACAGTATGAAAAGATAAAAAAAAAACCCAGTATCTTTGGATTCGATCATACAGTTGTAATTTCCATGACATCAGTTTCGTCGAGCATGAGCGCACTTTTTTCTGCTACCATAGCTACCAGCCGTCCCCTCCTCCCCTCCTGCCAATTCCTCTCTTATTTCTGTAAACCAGTATGCAGTAACTTTTACCAACGACGCAGTTTGCAAAGCCTTTTGGGTATTTAGCTTATTTACCACAGGGACTTCAATATTCACCCTATTACTTATCGCGGTCCATCGATATCAGAAGATCTGTCGACCATTTCAACCACAGATGACCCACCGAAGGAAACAGCTTGGTTTGGTAGTATGCATTGTGGTAGCGATGTTTACGTCCCTCCCAGCACTGGTTTTCTACGGAACCTCTCCTGTAAGCCACCCAAAATACAACATCACAGGAACGCGCTGTGCTAACATTCGTGGTCCGTGGACAAAGGCAGTGGCTATATCATACAAAGCGGCTATATTGCTCATTGGCCTCGGAATACTAGTTAGTCTGGTGGTTCTTTACTGTTTGATAGGAAGAGCCGTCTTTCGGAGAATCGATTTCAATAAAAAAAGACAAGAGCAAACATCAATTCCAAACGCACCGTCATCTATGACCTCGCGAGATACTATCGAATATGTCTCGGAAGATAGGAATAAACTTTCGCCAAGGACAACTACGAAGACAAAGAAGATCCCTGGATACCGATTGTCAATTATGTTCATGTTAATTACAGGCGTATTTGTTGTCTGTTTCATTCCAAAACTTGCCATGATGGTGTTTGAATCTAGACAAGAACAATTCTGGTTTACACTTGATATCTCTGGCTACAAAGTATTCCGGTTTTTATATACAATGTACATTATAAACAGCATTGCTAACCCTATAATATATGGATTCCATGACAGAAAGTTTAGACAAGAACTTGCATCACTTTGTTGTAACCGTTGTAATTGTATCTCTTTGGCATATGGTAGGAGATGAAATGTCGAAAAATGTGGAAAGAGGTGAAATATGAAACAATATAGGTGTATTTTATCCTGTATATATCAATGTAGGTAAGTTTTTATGTATTTTTTCACTATGTAGTGTACATAAGTGCATGTTTGTGTAGTTATCTCTTAAATTGTATTGTAGATGTGCGTAGTTACGTTTTTAGGTCTGTGCTTGTATCATTGTAACCTGAATTTCATTTACATAAGTCATTTTAACCCATTTTATAACATCAACTTATTGCATTTGTCTATATTACTATTTAGTTACTTAGCTCTTGGATGAAGATTTATATAATTGTATGATATCAACTTAATTCTTGACCATAGTTCTATGTAATTGTGTTATATAAACTTAGCTCCTAGATATAGGTATCCATACTTGTACAATATCGACTTAGCTCCTCGAGGCAGCAAGCTGAAATGAGAAGAAAGTGGTCAGTGTCTTAAAATATCAGCTGTATTTTGGCGAGGGTGAAGGAAAACAAAATTGGCGTGTCTTACAGCTCATACTTTCAGACACTGGTCATATATTCTATTTATTCTGCAACATTTACGCTAGAGTGTTCCTGATCATGTCAGACTAATTACTCCCAGCGCAAGTGTAGTCCCATACTTCAATGGATATCAAAACCGATTTTGGTAAATAATATTGGTTGATGCAGCAAATAAAACCGCTTATTTGAACAGTTATCTATATTCTTAATGAAATATATAAGTTAGTTAGCAATTCTGTCGAATTGATGCACTTGCTAAAATAAGCTGTTTTCCGTCACTGCCGAATACAGCCGGAATTTGCATGTAGATAAGTAGGTGATTGGTGTTCTCTGACAATGGTAGCACACGAAGAATAAACCCACAGAATATTGTGAGTGTGGAGTACGATCATTGTTATACCATTTGCCTTATTGTATAATAATGATATCTGTGTCTTAAAGACACAACTCCATAATTCATCAAGTTACAAATTAAAGAGATTCCTTAGCCTAAGCGAGGACTAATACTGAATAAAGCAGTTATAGCTAATATGTGGATATGTCATTGAAAATAAAAGGATTTTTGATGGGTGACCGCAATGTTTCCTTGTTTTAAGTATCTATACACAATCTCGAAACCTGACCTGAAATGCTTCGAGCGGGCGTTAATCACAAGTGTGTGTTAAAATGTAAAGTATACATGTCCGTTTTATACTACGGGCCTAAGTATCTTTTGTTCGAGGAAATATGACTGGGAAAGATTATGTTAACCGGCCCATTTATTATATGGTTTGATATATTCTTTTTTCCTAATATACCGAACTGTAAGTTTCACTTTCTATCATCCGATCTCTTTGCCAACAATAAGATATATCGTTATATGTATGTAAAGTAAATTATATATATTGTTGAAAAATTGAAGAGGAATGAAAAACAAAATTTTAAAACTGTTTGATACCGTTATAATCGAGGTCATTATAACATATTGAACTCTAGAAGATGGAATATATTAACATTTCCAATCGTGCTTTATAGTCCTAAAATTTTAAAAGATTCTTCAGCGGAACATTTCTCAATAGCAAATATAGTGAACGCTTTTGGTAAGTCAAAACCAACAAGCTTAAACTCGTTTTGAAACGCATATAACCAAAAACTGGTTGACCATTTTCAATTTTAACCATTTAATATCAGAGCAAGTTTTTTCTCCGGTGTAGCTGATTTTCGGTTTAAGGTTCGAGAGCTTTCGTCACTTTCCGTGAACGAGAAATTCACCGTCTCCTAATTGCATTAAAACTGCAAAACTTGGATGTACTTACGATATTTGTTTGAATTTAATCGTGATTAACTTTTCGGATGTTGATAGTGAGAATTTGGTTTTTTTTAAGAAAATGGCAGTCCATGCAATACTGTTGACTATATTTTCTCATGACAATTTATTTTAAAAAGACAACCTTTATACTGATGCTATGTTACAATATATAATAGAGTAATATCAGCAGTGTTGAAAAAAAGATGCTATCAGAGAGCATAAACTTTATCCGCAATGTTCTACCATAGATTTAAATATAGATCTTAGTCCGTGGTTCTACCAGCATTGCCTTACTAAACATTAAAGGTTCAATTGCGTTTCATGGTTTGTCAGACAGAAAAAAATCTTTCAAAAGCTAAGGGCAAAGAAAATCAGAACATTTTAAGAATGAAAACTGGATCAACATATAAACAACGCCTTTACAAATATTTAAAAGTTATATAGTTTTTCGGTCATATTTTTATTACAAACTCATTTCTTTATAAAACGAATCTAAAAGCTTGTCACCTCTGCAACCTCTGTAACTCTGAAAGGGAAACTATTGTACAAATGTACATTTATTTTAATATATAAAGTTGACTTTATCTATATGGTTTAACGTCCACTATTACGGCCTTTCAGGAGACGTGATTAGGTTGACAATAACGTTACCCTGCATATAATACAGAGTGTGGACACAGCTTACACAAGTTGCTGAATATTGATTAATAAATCGTTATATCCTTGTAAATAATGAAAAGCAAACTGGTAGTAAAGCGGAGATAGTTGTGTTCCGAATCGGAAAATTCGATAAAATTAACAAATTCCCTACAGTATGAAAAGATAAAAAAAAAACCCAGTATCTTTGGATTCGATCATACAGTTGTAATTTCCATGACATCAGTTTCGTCGAGCATGAGCGCACTTTTTTCTGCTACCATAGCTACCAGCCGTCCCCTCCTCCCCTCCTGCCAATTCCTCTCTTATTTCTGTAAACCAGTATGCAGTAACTTTTACCAACGACGCAGTTTGCAAAGCCTTTTGGGTATTTAGCTTATTTACCACAGGGACTTCAATATTCACCCTATTACTTATCGCGGTCCATCGATATCAGAAGATCTGTCGACCATTTCAACCACAGATGACCCACCGAAGGAAACAGCTTGGTTTGGTAGTATGCATTGTGGTAGCGATGTTTACGTCCCTCCCAGCACTGGTTTTCTACGGAACCTCTCCTGTAAGCCACCCAAAATACAACATCACAGGAACGCGCTGTGCTAACATTCGTGGTCCGTGGACAAAGGCAGTGGCTATATCATACAAAGCGGCTATATTGCTCATTGGCCTCGGAATACTAGTTAGTCTGGTGGTTCTTTACTGTTTGATAGGAAGAGCCGTCTTTCGGAGAATCGATTTCAATAAAAAAAGACAAGAGCAAACATCAATTCCAAACGCACCGTCATCTATGACCTCGCGAGATACTATCGAATATGTCTCGGAAGATAGGAATAAACTTTCGCCAAGGACAACTACGAAGACAAAGAAGATCCCTGGATACCGATTGTCAATTATGTTCATGTTAATTACAGGCGTATTTGTTGTCTGTTTCATTCCAAAACTTGCCATGATGGTGTTTGAATCTAGACAAGAACAATTCTGGTTTACACTTGATATCTCTGGCTACAAAGTATTCCGGTTTTTATATACAATGTACATTATAAACAGCATTGCTAACCCTATAATATATGGATTCCATGACAGAAAGTTTAGACAAGAACTTGCATCACTTTGTTGTAACCGTTGTAATTGTATCTCTTTGGCATATGGTAGGAGATAAAATGTCGAAAAATGTGGAAAGAGGTGAAATATGAAACAATATAGGTGTATGTTATCCTGTATATATCAATGTAGGTAAGTTTTTATGTATTTTTTCACTATGTAGTGTACATAAGTGCATGTTTGTGTAGTTATCTCTTAAATTGTATTGTAGATGTGCGTAGTTACGTTTTTAGGTCTGTGCTTGTATCATTGTAACCTGAATTTCATTTACATAAGTCATTTTAACCCATTTTATAACATCAACTTATTGCATTTGTCTATATTACTATTTAGTTACTTAGCTCTTGGATGAAGATTTATATAATTGTATGATATCAACTTAATTCTTGACCATAGTTCTATGTAATTGTGTTATATAAACTTAGCTCCTAGATATAGGTATCCATACTTGTACAATATCGACTTAGCTCCTCGAGGCAGCAAGCTGAAATGAGAAGAAAGTGGTCAGTGTCTTAAAATATCAGCTGTATTTTGGCGAGGGTGAAGGAAAACAAAATTGGCGTGTCTTACAGCTCATACTTTCAGACACTGGTCATATATTCTATTTATTCTGCAACATTTACGCTAGAGTGTTCCTGATCATGTCAGACTAATTACTCCCAGCGCAAGTGTAGTCCCATACTTCAATGGATATCAAAACCGATTTTGGTAAATAATATTGGTTGATGCAGCAAATAAAACCGCTTATTTGAACAGTTATCTATATTCTTAATGAAATATATAAGTTAGTTAGCAATTCTGTCGAATTGATGCACTTGCTAAAATAAGCTGTTTTCCGTCACTGCCGAATACAGCCGGAATTTGCATGTAGATAAGTAGGTGATTGGTGTTCTCTGACAATGGTAGCACACGAAGAATAAACCCACAGAATATTGTGAGTGTGGAGTACGATCATTGTTATACCATTTGCCTTATTGTATAATAATGATATCTGTGTCTTAAAGACACAACTCCATAATTCATCAAGTTACAAATTAAAGAGATTCCTTAGCCTAAGCGAGGACTAATACTGAATAAAGCAGTTATAGCTAATATGTGGATATGTCATTGAAAATAAAAGGATTTTTGATGGGTGACCGCAATGTTTCCTTGTTTTAAGTATCTATACACAATCTCGAAACCTGACCTGAAATGCTTCGAGCGGGCGTTAATCACAAGTGTGTGTTAAAATGTAAAGTATACATGTCCGTTTTATACTACGGGCCTAAGTATCTTTTGTAAATTTCTGTTAAGAGCAGGAAATATGATTAACTGGGAAAGATTATGTTAACCGAAAGCCCATGTTTTTGTTATATGGTTTGATATATTCTTTTTTTTTTCCTAATATACCGAACTGTAAGTTTCACTTTCTATCATCCGATCTCTTTGCCAACAATAAGATATATCGTTATATGTATGTAAAGTAAATTATATATATTGTTGAAAAATTGAAGAGGAATGAAAAACAAAATTTTAAAACTGTTTGATACCGTTATAATCGAGGTCATTATAACATATTGAACTCTAGAAGATGGAATATATTAACATTTCCAATCGTGCTTTATAGTCCTAAAATTTTAAAAGATTCTTCAGCGGAACATTTCTCAATAGCAAATATAGTGAACGCTTTATGGCATTGCGTTTGGTAAGTCAAAACCAACAAGCTTAAACTCGTTTTG